CCCGACCCCCCGGACCCCCAGAAAATGAGCCGGGCGGTGACCGAGGCCTTCGTGAGGCTGCACGAGCAGGGCCTGATCTACCGGAGCCGGCGCATCGTGCACTGGAGCTGCGCCCTGCGGTCAGCCATATCCGACATTGAGGTACCCAGAAACCCCCAAAATCACCCCAAAAATAGCCCCAAAACATCCCCTAAATACTGCCCAAAAATCCCCCAAAAAAACCCCAAAAAATCCCTCAAAAAGCCCTGGAATCGTGCACTGGAGCTGCGCCCTGCGGTCAGCCATATCCGACATTGAGGTACCCAAAATAGCCCAAAATCACCCCAAAACCCCCCCCAGGAACCCCCCAAAACATCCCCAAAATACTGCTGAAAATAACCCCAAAAAACACCTAAAAACCCCCGAGATCGGGCACTGGAGCTGCGCCCTGCGCTCGGCCATCTCTGACATTGAGGTACCCAAAATAGCCCAAAATCACCCCAAAAATAGCCCTGAAACACCCCAAAATCCTGCCTGACATACGGCCCCAAAAACCCCCGGGGTCTCTCAGGGATTTGGGGTCCATTTTGGGGTCCCTTTTGGGGGTCCCAGGTGGAGAAGCGGGAGCTGGGGGGCTCTGGGGTCTGGGGATGTTTTTGGGGTCTCTCAGGTGGTTTTTGGGGTCCATTTTTGGGGTCCCAGGTGGAGAAGCGGGAGCTGGGGGGCCCTGGGGGTCTCTCAGGGATTTGGGGGGTCTGTCAGGGGTCTCAGGATGTTTTTGGGGTGTGTTTTGGGGGTCCCAGGTGGAGAAGCGGGAGCTGGGGGGCTCTGGGGTCTGGGGATGTTTTTGGGGTCTCTCAGGTGGTTTTTGGGGTCCATTTTTGGGGTCTGGGGGCCCCGCGGGTCTGGGGTCCCCGGGGTGACCCCGCGCTCAGCCGAGGGCGAGGACGCCGAGGTCGTGGTGGCCACGACGCGCCTGGAGACCCTGCTGGGGGACGAGGCCGTGGCCGTGCACCCCGAGGACCCCCGGTACCAGGTGAGACCCCCGGGGGGCACCTGAGACACCTGGGGGGGCTGGGGACACACCTGAGACACACCTGGGGGTACCTGACACACCTGGGGGCACACCTGGGACACACCTGGGGTACCCCTGGGGACCCTGCTGGGGGACGAGGCCGTGGCCGTGCACCCCGAGGACCCCCGGTACCAGGTGAGACCCCTGAGACCCCCTGAGACCCCCTGAGACACCTGGGGTACACCTGACACACACCTGGGCACACCTGGGGGCACACCTGGGACACACCTGACACACACCTGGGCACACCGGGGACACACCTGGGGGCACACCTGGGACACACCTGGGGACACACCTGGGCACACCTGGGGACACAGGACAAGGGACAGCAGGGACAGAGTGTATGACACACCTGGGGTACACCTGAGACACACCTGGGGTACCCCTGGGGACCCTGCTGGGGGACGAGGCCGTGGCCGTGCACCCCCAGGACCCCCGGTACCAGGTGAGACCCCTGAGACCCCCTGAGACCCCCTGAGACACCTGGGGTACACCTGACACACACCTGGGCACACCTGGGGGCACACCTGGGACACACCTGGGGGGGCTGGGGACACACCTGAGACACACCTGAGACCCCCTGACACACCTGACACACACCTGACACACCTGGGGGGACTGGGGGCACACCTGTGGGCGGGGCCAGCACACCTGGGCACACCTGGATGCACCTGGGCACCCCTGGGGGCGGGGCCAGGCACACCCAACACCCCCGGTACCAATGAGGGGCAGGCCCCGCCCATCTCCGGCCGCGCCCATGCCCGCGTGGGCGTGTCCGCGGTGGGCGTGGCCTGAGGCCCCGCCCCCAGCACCTGCGGGGGCGGTTCGTGCTGCACCCAATCACAGGGCGGCGCCTGCCCGTGCTGCACGACGCCTTCGTCGACCCCGCCTTCGGCACCGGTGAGGGGCGGGGCCGGGGGGCGGGGCTTCG